GGGAACGGTTAGGACTCCACGAGAGGTCAGCCTGCCGCCGCCGCGGCGGACGAGAGGTGGGCCCCGCGATGCTTTCGCTATGTATTTTTTTCATTTGCATAGTCCATGAGATCTCCAACAGTCTGCTTTATTACTTGCAGGTGTGAAAACTATGAAAGGAGTAGGCCCGATGTTCAACTATTAGTCCAAAACAACGCCCATTTACATAGAAATAATATTTAGAGAATACATCAGCAATCTACAAAAATTCTTTTCAGGGTGAATCCTTCTTTTCACCTTAATTGTAAGGTATTGAAAGGTTTAAGATTTACGGCCAGATGGTAAAAGTAGGTAGTATTAAAGAAATACAGCAAGCCCCGTCGTAATAAGTACAGCTGGCATTCCCAAATAACTGTTCGTTCCATTAAAAAATTCTGGTTTGTGAAAAAATCCCAAGCAGATTTGCGTGATGCCAGAACTATGTGAAGGGACCGGGATCTTAATCGCACGACCATATTGGTCAAGTAAAATCAGGCTGCAATCGCCGCGCACGGCGAGGCGAGACATGGCAGCCGTGACCTCTCGTGGAGTCCTAACCTACACCCCCTCCACCTGTCGTTACTTGACCTTTCTGTGGGCAGGTCACCGAGGCGCTGTCATTTCAAACATGCTGATGGTGCACATTGTTGTTACGTTCTTTGAATTGACAAATTTCTCACAGTTTACATCCTTTTAGTTTAGGTGGGGGGGGGGTGGGTATGTTTATGTTGGGTTACCTTTGGGCTCTCAGGCTCTAACCTCCAGGGCCAGAGCTCAGTGTTATCCATATAAAGTCATTCCAAGATTTCATTTGGCTCTAATACCACACTGAAAAAGACCTCAGTTGGTTTACAATCAATAATACGGGCGATTTCCGCTGCCGTGGGTGGTCTGTGCCGTTCAGGTCAACGATCTCCGATAGTTACGTGCAATTCTTCATTTACGCCCACTATCACTGTTCAAACGTATCACTGCCCATCGAACGACCACCATTTCTTTCTAAATCGTGTACTTCGTGTCGTGTTTAATGTCTTCATTTATTTAAACAGCTGAGTTCCGATACTATCGACTTACTTCCTCTTCCCATACAGCTACAATTTTCAGCAATTATACATTTTTGGTATCTCTTAGTAGCTGACCGGTCAGAGATAAGGTCGAAGTCACAGTCATAATCCCATATTTGTTCCAACTATTTTTTTTAGTAGTGATTTTATTGTAGGGTGTATGTGTCAGGACAATCGTAATATGCTTTGCTGATGGGCGTGGCCAGCAAAGCAGCGCCCCAACAGACGAGTTACCTTACCTGCCTGTTTAGAGTGTTGTGTGTTAAATGGACGGGAAAATTCAAAATTGAGCGTCATGGAGTCCTGTCTCTAATTGGACTCATATCATTTCTGCTGCTCCAATCGACAAAGCCGATACGACAATTTGGCCCCTATGGCCCGCCGCGCGACGAGCGACAATTTGCGGTTGTCTTTTGTCGTCCGTTGGATGTATATCGTTGGTCCCAAGTTCGCGGAGGGGTGCCAGCAAACGAGCCTTGCAACGGAATAGGGGCATTCTTTAACAGCAAATTCAATCGTTTAGAGTGTGGCAGCCTGCTGCGTCGAAGTCAACTAGCCAGGAACCATTATTCCGTTAGTCTGGCCACGCAAGTCGAGGACTAACGCGTAAAGGCGATGCCATGTAAAGGAGTACAGCATCCCCTGCTGATTCGATGTGGACGAGTTGTCATGCTAATCTGGACGAGTTGTTGTTGTTGTTGTTGCTGTTTTTTTTGTTGTTGTTCTAAACGAGTTGGCCAGACTTGTCAAAATAGTGACTTCCACATATACCGAAACGTGTCCTGGAGCTATTCCATAGGGTAAGGCATTTTTGCAGAGCGTCCAAGATATTAACAACGCGCTAGTGGTGGAGCCTGAGCCTAGGGGAAGAGAAAGCCCCGCAGAGTGGGTGAACTAATGCCTTTTGGATGGCAAAAAAGACTTTTCAAACTGTGCAGCAAAATGCCCCCGTCCCCCTCATGTCGATTACGCTGTCAATCATATTGGTGGGTCTGCTTTCACATCCCACAACACTCATTAGTCATCGCGTGTAAAAAGTAGTCATCGATAAAGCACATGTGGCAATGATTATCAGTTCGAAGCAGCGGGCATCATCATTGTGGGAATCACAACGGGGGGGGGGTCGAATTTTTGTGCTGGGAGAGGCAGCAGCGTTTCACCCCAAGACATTTTTTTTTCAAGGTTATTGAGTTTTCCCGTCTTACGCGCTCAGTTGTATACTCCTCTGTTAGTGCACGCGGAAAGTGCTGCTCTAGCTCACCCCCCGTTCGACGGCAAAAATTCAGTAAAATTCGATAGAAAGTGTAGATAAGGGTTGGCCGAAGGTGGTTATATTGGACTGAGAAAAATTGCGGGAAGTGCATATTTTGCAAAAAATTCGCGCGAATTGTGGGGTCGCCAGTTGGTTCGATGCAGCACCTTCAAGAAATTTCAAGAAACAGTTCCAAGATGACCTACATATTTCCGTGGAGAGCTTGCTAGGATGGTGAAATCTAGTAGCATAGGAGTGTACACTCAGTTCGCTGCCGGATCGGTTTGCGTGTCCAGGCAGTTATGAGTGCGTCAACGTCGTCAGAGCGTTCTCTTGCCTAAATTCTTGTTGAAGGAGCGCATACGGACAAAAAGTGGTAGAAAACAAGTTAATACGGCGGACGATATGATACAGTTTATCACCTTGCTCGTCTTTAACAGCGGTGGAGAACCTGTCGGCACCGCTCCAAACTCATGTCCTGGCCTGACACGCCAAACCGTTCTGGCGACTACACTATATATACAGGGGTGGCCAAAAAAAAAAGTCACTTTGCCTCATTGACTTTCGAGGCGCTATAAATTACACTTTATCAAATTCTGATCGGACATTTTTACTACCATATTGAAGAGCACATTAAGTACTATCACGACACTCCGCCACAGCCTTCTGGACGAACGCCATCGAGAGATTCTGGCACGCGACCGCGATGTGGTACCTGAGATCAGCGAAGTAGTCGATTTTCTCCGCCACCGTAGACCACCCTCTTGAACTCCGCCCGACTAGGTAACTGAGTGGATTCAGGTCAGGGGACATACTTCAATATTACATCTTCTTCAGGTACGAAACGCCCTTCCATTCGAAGTAGGCGGGAGTTTTTCCAAAACCCTTTGATTCCATGTGGTGGCACCCAAACCTGTAGCAGCACAAGGTCTCCAAGAAGGTACGGGCGACCACATGTAGGGAGGATATTCTTCTCGAGTTACTTGATGTAACCGCCAGCGCTCACCTTCACGGGGTTCGGGGTCTACAAGAAATTTACCAGGTCTTCCCCTTTCCAGGTAACCCGGTCCATACCATCAACTCGCGCCTCGGCGAATACGGTGAAGATGATGTCCTAGACCGTAGCGAAGTTGAGGAAGCTGCTCGATGTGGGAGGTCTTGCAGATCAAGAGTACTGACCTCCAGGTAGCTATCTGTGGATGACTTCAAACAAGAAGTTTCGCAGCTGTTTGGAGACGACGTGAATTCCAAAGGTGTTCTCCAGTCAGGCCGCGACTGGAGATGACTTCATATTTTGGCGTACATGAAGGCGATTGGCGGCAGCCTGCTCCAGCTTATAGAGGAAGATCTTGGGTATCTTCCACTCTGGTACTCATATCCACTTCCCCTGTCTGGGCTGCGAAAACTTCGTTGATATGTGACTTGGTCAAAGTGACTTTTTTTTTGGCCACCCCTGTATATATGAGGGGTGCCTATAATGGAAGCGTTATTGGATCCTGCGCAAAAGACCGTTCAACCGCCTGACAACGTGTTTCACCGAGAAACCGGAGAATCGATGGGAATGGAGGCAACTGGGGTGCGCGCAAAAGAAACCTAAATGGGAGAGGTGGGACTGACACTAGACCATTTGGGAAATCAGGAAGGAAAATGTCGAAGTTGAGGATTTAGGTACACAGGGGCTTACAGCATCGTTGTTGTGAAAACACATGAAGGGGGTCGTGCTTAGGACTTGGCCGCCAAGTAGCGGGGGGGGGTTGTAGATGGGAGAGGGGGTGGGCCGGCGTATGTGGGCCTCTGAGAGTAATTTGCCGCGTTAGGAACAATTTTTAAAGTTGTTGACTTTACGTGATTTTTCCTGTTTCGTGTGCACCTACCCACCCCGCCCCTTCAATGGAAATTTTGTGTGAAAGAACTGAAAAATGTGGGAAATTGGTAGGCCAGGGGTAGGTGGTAGGGTTGGGAAAGGAGGGGGGACAGACACCACCGTTTCACACATCACGATGCTGTACCCTGCAGGTACAGCCAATACGGTCCGGTAGATATGTTTGCGCGATGTCGCGATTGCCGCGCGCGAACACTAGATGGGACGAATTCAGTTGATACCAGTTGTTATTTTCAAAACAGTTGATGCCGAAGAGACATCTCTGAAAGATGTAAGCATAGAAATAACAGTAACATCTGGAGGAAATATCAAAGAATAGATAAAAGAAGTCTGAAGCAAACAACAGAATAGGAAGCTTTGTGAAGAAGAAAAAAAGTCGCCAACTCGGAACGAAGCTTAGTAGCGGACCACATTTTTTATTCGATTATTTTTTTCTCTGTTTCGTTTGGCTAGCTAGTTACACTGTATTGAATCGATTTTAATCATTTTATTCCTCGTCGTTGTTCTAACAACTAGTAGAGCTAAAACTTTTTTCAGTCGTTTGCTGAACTTCCATAAAAAAGCGTCGTTTTTAATTGCTTTAAACTTTTGTTATCCAATCTCCCGTCAGTACCTGGGGGTCATCTAACGTTTACTATATCTCTTTGAGATTACATTTTTTGAAAATGCTCTTTGAAAGTCTGATTCAAAAAAAATAACTGTTGATTTCAACCTACAGCGTTCGACTGCGAACATGCACCCCGTACCCCTAGCTGGAATGGGCGTGGCTGCAGACATCATTTGCCTATAGCCCCGCTGCGCTTTTGGTTGAATACTGCCGTTTTGGGATAACTGCTATCATGTCTTTGTTCAACACAAATAGGATGATAGTTGCCTGGGATCTAGAAATCCCAGGAAATCCTACGCATCCTACGCCGCATCCGAATAAGGCCGCAGCCACGCCTACTCCACCTGTGGTATGCAATGTATCTTATGGCGGATTTATCTACCAAACTTTATGGTAATTGTATGCACTTCTGCTTCGCTGCCAACTGAGTTTGGAGGGGGCAGAGAGGGGTAATATAGCGAAAGTGAAACGGGAAAAGCCGAGAAATCTAGAAAAGCAGAAAGTTAACAATCGGGGAAATCTTCTCGTAGCTCGAAGGCGACCGCGACCTCCTTCCCAGTGACCAGGTATGACATCCCCCCTCAAAGTGGGATTCTTCCAACGACCATGTATCCTGATAGGGGAACCAGCAAAGGGTATGTACGAATCGATCGTTGACGTCGTTGAGAAGGAGAACTGGCCGCATTGACGTAGGATTCTTAATGCTTTTAACCGGCCTGCCAATGATTACAAAGCTTTGGATCACAGCTGCAATCCTGCTCAGTGCGTGTGGTGGGACATTTCAGGGCAGTTGCGTTTGGTGCGCCGCCAGCCCCTTCTCCACCAGTTGTTGAAGCGGGCAGGCGACGACAATTGGTGGAAAACGACTGTACGGACCCGCTACTCTCGCGACTTATTCGCTCAGTGCACATCACCTTTTTTGGTGGATTTCAGGTGACTCCATCATATACTCCCCCTTTTTTGGAGTCGGTACGACCTCCCCATACTCCCCCCCCCCGCGGCTCCCTCGTGTCCGTTACCTCATCTCGCATCGAGCCTCCTCCGACCCGTGTTGAGCGGTTTGTGGTTGTTGTTTTTATCTACTAATAAACGTCATACACTACCACATCCACAACTACCTAAAACGATAAATACGACGACCCCTTCCTCCGCAAATATGGGATTAAATAGCGAGCCCCTCCTCCCCTCCTATACAAAGTCCTATAGACGCCGAGAAAAGATCAACTATTCAAATAAAATTTTTCTCAGCACAATACGACCCCCCCACTACTGGGGATTCCCCAACAACGATGTGCCCTGATATTGCTTGTTGAAAGAAAAAATGAAAAGAAACGGGCTGATACCGCGCCAAACCTGTCCTCTCCTGACATGCCCCATTATCAGCCGCGGGCAGAACTGCATATGGCACATTAACCGTCAAAATAGGGTTCGTCGGAAATGTTTTGATCGTTTTCGTGTAGCTCCGACTGACTAACTGAAAGTAATTCATCACAGCTCAGGTTCCTTCTGTAGATCTGCACCCATTCCCTTCGCTTCTCTGGTAGAACAGCTGATCCTTCTCAGATGTCAATCGCGATTGTTCAAGCGGGCTCCATTCTATATGACACACCAGCTACATTGGACAAACTTGAAAGGCTTACTAAAGAAGCCGTAGACAAAGGAGCAAAGCTCGTCCTCTTTCCTGGTGAGTGCGTCAGTTGGCTAATTTCGAGTACTGCTCGCCAAATAGGCATTTCAGAAGCGTTCATTGGAGGCTATCCGAAAGGGTCCGACTTTGGAATCGTTCTTGGTACACGTTCACCTGAAGGCCGTGAAGAGTTCAGCAAGTAAGCTTTTTCATTGACTATTTAGCCAGTGTTCATACTTCGCGACTACTATGTGCTGCGCTCCACCGCTATTATCAGGCAACCAATAAAGTTCGTGCTGTGTTTTTTTAAATTACTTTTATGAAGTATATTCAGAACAGAAAAGGTGTGGTTTTCCACCAGGACAATGCAAGACCACACACTGCAAGAATCACTCAGGAAACAA